TGAATGATGGGTGAGTGGTGGAATCTACTCTAGAAGATAATGCAGATCATTATGAACTTTATATTCCATGCACCCCAAACAAGGGGTTGGACCTGATGGCCCTCTGGCCCCTCCCAACTCTACTGTTCCATGACTCTATATCACTTACACCCTTCTTACAAGTAATTCAAAATGTAATTCTCCATTTGATCCTCACAACAACCTGTGAGGTAGGTCAGGATGAGTCAGTGATTGACCCAAACTCACCCTGTAAACATGGCCAAATATTGACTAGAAGCCAGATCTCCAGAGTCCCAGTCCAGCATGTTAACCACTGTAACACACTGGCTCTCACTGAAGTCCCCCCCCCCCCGGTGTTACACATAGTCCCTGTGTTTGACCATGACAAGGGTAAGATGCTGTGCTTTATTCGTTCTCTCTCTCATTTCTGAAAGATACTGCTTACTGCCCTTATGACTCAACAGCCGATTTTATAACGTGACCAGAGAAGTCAGCTGCCCATGTTTTGCTTTTGCAGGAGGAGAGGATGATTGTGGCTCATTTTGGGAAAAGCAGAGTCATGTTCTTCACATGTGAGCTTTCACAGAAAAAGATACTCAGCTACTCTAGTGGTGGTTTTTAGTTGTCTTTCTGTGCTGAAGATAATTTTCTATGCAAAGAATGATTAATACTTTCTGAGGCTTAAAATGGCTGTGGATAATCTTGGCGAGAACATAGTCAAAGTGCATGATAAAGTGAAAGTGCTAATTCCAAAGAAATAGGCTCCTCTTCTTTGGGATCTTGCTAATTACTTGGAAAAAGTTCTGTCCAGAGAGCTTGCAGGAGTCTTGATTTTGTGGCCCACAGCTTTAACGTTTGGCTATACCTAAGGAAAAAGCAAAGCTGAGAGAATACCTGACTATCCAGTTCAAATAAATACAGAATAGCATCTGCAAGCTAGTGGCTTGCAGCTAGTGGCTTACACTACCACTATCCTGTGCTAGTGTAAGCCACCTAGGCAGCTCTGGTTATTGGGTGGTATAGAAATAGAATGAAATCAGTACCAAAATGATGTCTCTACTCAGTCTCACTGCAGTGAATTCCAGCCCCCAAAGCAGGCTGAGTTCATTATTAATCTGTGGCTTGAAACGATGTTCTTAACAGTCTTTCTAAGGACCTTTCTCTTAGGAGCACTTTTCTCTCTCTCAAGTCTGGATATCCCTTAAGGATGCACATTTGTTCAGAGGCTACATAGAGTGTGTGTGTGGGGGGGGGGTCGGTACCTTTTCTTGGGTGCTCCCTTCACCTATAGTGATGTGACATAACCGTCCCTTGTGGAATACCAATTTCATGTTGCATGGGTCTGCTGCAGCAGGCTGCCTGTGCAACTGGACAGATGCTGAGGCGAGAGAGGTGCCCCAGGACAGGTGTGTGTGTGTGTGTGTCACATGCCCTGCCTGCCGCTGCTCTCTCAAGCCAGACTGGTGGAGGACACTGTCAGGTTCATACTGGGGAACAACTTGTTCATTTCTGTAACACAACTGATTGGGGGGGTCCTATCCTGAGGCAGAGCTTTTGCCTCATTTGAGTGCAGAACTCCCCGCAAGGGAGAGCAGCCCCTCGTTTCTTCCATAGGCTGTTTCCAAGGCTGTAGGTTTGCCTTCTCGCCACTCTAGGCTGTGTGCTCAGGTATTCTTCCAGTTGCTTTAGAGGAGGTCTTGCTCGGCGGGGCAAAGGATGCAATGTTTTGTATAGAGGTAATGCCAGAGTTTAAGAACTAAAAGTAAAAAGAGGAGGGTTTTCTCTTAACAAGCATCTGTGTTTAGTCTCTCTTGAGGTGTTGAAAAGGGAGGCCCCAAGCGGCCAGTATCCTTTTGTAATCTTGAGCATGGTGCCTTGCATAGACGCGTGCAGAGTTCGGAAATGTTAACCTCCTGGCCTTTGTGATACCAGTAGCTGGAGCACCACACTGCACGGGTGGGAGCTTGGTGGCTCCTGCTGTTTTTTCTCTCTCCAGGTTGGCTTGCTATGACGAATCCATACCATTTACCACTGGAGATGGAAAGCCTGGAGTTGCATTGCTTTCCTGCTTCGACTCTGGCTCTCCAGTTCACCTGGTGTGATCTGCATTCACTTAAGGGGTCAGCTGTGGGCACTCATGGAGATGATTAAAATGGACTGACCTCTGCTGCAGACGGAGGTTCCGTGCAGGAACAAAATGCAGATCTAAGTGCTGGGAGTGCAAAAGAGATCGATAGCAAGTGATTAGACGGGATGGGGAGAGACAGCTTTCCCAGCTGTCTATTCATCTACTGTGAACGTTAGCTGTGGTATATTGGGTGCCCTCAATTATGTCAGTACCCGATCTTCAACGGAGCTATCTGCAGGGCTGCAAACTATTTTCAGCTGTGATTAACCAACCCCGGGTTAAGTAATAAGTGAAAGGGCACGAAGCAAGTATTTGGGAACAGATGCGGGGGGGCGGGTGGAAAAACCGGGCGGGATGTGGCCACCTATTAAACAGTTTAAGGTGCAATCCCATGCGGGTTTAGACAAGACTGTCTACACCTGCAGTGGTAGACCTTTTTCCTGTCAATTCGCATGGGATGGCCGCCTGAATGCTTTGATTCCTCCTCCCTTTTAATTTGTGGTGTTCTAAACGTTTGGCGAGATGACAGGCGGTCCCGAATCCGGTCAAATAATCGTTTGACGTAATCGGAGTGACCCTCCAATCCGCGGAGGGCGCCCTCATCCACTCACGAGCCCCAGCGCCCTTTGACGTGACCGCAAGGCCTCGCCTCCTCGAGGCGGGCCTTCGTGGCGTGTCAGGGCGTGGGCGGGGCGGGTCGTTGGGGGAGTTGCTGTCGCTTCCTCCTCTGCCCGCCTCGCTTTTGCGACGCACGCCAACTCCTCCTCGCAGCGCTGCTCCCAAATGTCTTTGACGAGGGCCCCGGCAAGGAGGGGGCGCCCGCCTACGTCTCTGCCAGCGCGGAAGAGCCTGGAGAGGGGAACGGGCGCTTGTGAAGCGCGCCGACACGCCCACCTCTGAACCCAAAGCACACGGAAAAGGAGGGCGCCTCTCCCTCTAAGCGGCTGCAGCTCCCCCTGCCTGCTGCTCTGTCCCCAGAGCCGCACCCCTTAAAAGCCTTTCGCCTCTACCCTCCAAGCCCAACGCCCCCCTTTGCCACCTCCCTCAGTTTGCGCCCCGTTTTATTTCCCCCTCGAATATTACCACACCGAGGAAACAGCGCTTGGAAAACTGTTTTAAACAATTTATTGAACAAAAAACCCGAACAAACAAAAACACAGGGAAAAAAGGCAACTGAAGACAAGGCAGTAAGAGGCCTCGCAGGGGAGAACTGCCCTCCTACCCCTCCCGCCCTCCCTACCTTGGACCACCGGGCCGCCTCCCCCGCGCCTGCAGCGGCTGCAGGGCCCTCCAGCAAGACCAGCCACGCCGGTCCCGGGCGCCGCTCGGCCAGCCGGCCCCCCCACCGCCCCGGCCCGCCCCTCCGTGCGCCCGGGAAAAGTGGCTCGTTTTAAAGGCAGGCGAAGCCCAGCCGCTTGCAGCCACCGAGCCCGTTGCCATAGCGCCGCCGCGCTCGCGGCCACGGCGACCGCTCCAACTTTGCGATGCCGCCCCGAAGGCCGCCCCCTGCCCGCAAGAAGTGGGAGCGGGCGGCAGGGAGGGGCCGCCGGCCGCCCGAGGGGGGTCCTGCGGGAGCGCGGGAGCGACCTTCTCAGCTGCTTTATATATATATAAAAAAAACCACCAACCGCCAAAGCCGGCGCTAGTCCCCATTGACATAACCGTCCCACGGTGGATCTGTCTTGCTTTTAAAGGGGAAGGGCAGAAGCGCAGTGCCGTCTCCCCTCCAATGAACGAAAACGGGACCCATGAACGGAATGGTGCTTACGGAGGAAAGAGTGCTACCGAACCAGCCCAGCCCGCCCCCTCCCCCGAAAAAAACGAAAATGAAAAGCTGCGGAAACGAAGCCGAAGCGGGAAACGTGGCTCTGTGCTTCGAGCGAAGTCCGTGTGCCGGGGCTCAATCGTCCTGGGCGGCGGGCGAGGGAAAGTGCCCGCTCCCCCCGCTCCCGGGCGGGGGCTCATTTCCTGCTCTTGAGCGCCTTGGGCTTCGCGGACTTCTTCACCTTCTTCGCGCTGGGGGCGGCGGCGCTTTTCTTGGCCGTCTTCTTGGCTTTCACCTTCTCCTTCTTGGCGGCCCCGCCGCCGGCGCCTTTCTTGTGCGACTTCTTCTCCAGCTTTTTGCTCTTGGCGACGGGCTTCTTCTCCACTTTGCGCGAAGCGGGCACAGCGACCGCCTTCTTGTGCGACTTGGCGTGGGAGCCGCCGCCGCCGCCGCCGCCGCCGGCGCCCCCTTCGCTGCCCCCCTCGAGCTTCTTCCTGTTGAGCTTGAAGGAGCCGTTGGCGCCCGTCCCCTTCACCTGCAGCAAGGTGTCGTTTTGCACCAGCGCCTTGATGGAGTACTTGAGGTAGGTGCGCCCGTTCCGCTGGTCGAACCAGGCCACTTTCTTGGCTTCGTTGTAGATTTTGGCCAGCGAGGAGCCGTTGCGCTCGCCCAGCTTGCGGATGGACTCCACCACCAGCTGGCTGTATTTGCCCGGCTGGTTCTTTTTCTTGCTGTTTTTCTTCTTCTTGGATGGGGACAGAGCGGACCCGCCGCCGCCGCCGCCTTTCGATTTTTTGGAAGCGCCCTTCTTCTCGGGGGCCAGAGGCGCTTCTTCCGCCTCCGTCAGCGGGAGGTCGGCTTCTTCCAGTTCAACAGACATGCCGGAAAAGGGACAGCGTTTCTGCGAGAAAGGAGCTTGCAGAGAAATGGGCGACGGGCTTTAAGCGCAGCCTGGGTGCTGCTTTCGTCCTGGCGCGCTCCCCACGGAAAGCGAGAGCGCCAGCCCCACGGCAGCCGAACGCTGCTGCCCTCTCTTCCGCCTGAGAAATGCAATCTGCCTGGGCGGGCTCCGCCGCAGCTCCTTATATGCGCGACGAGCGGACCACGTTGAGAACAACAACAGGGAGAAAGCAGGCAAGCTCCAAGTTGTGCTTCTTGTGGCCCCTTTGCCGGGCTCTCTCTCCTGCGTCCGGCGCCTCAGGGCTGGGACGTCGTCGGCAGCCGCTGCTCCCGACGGTGCCTGATCGTGCTGCCGGGGTGTCACTGCCCCCTTGGACCGGGAAAGGTTCCCCAGAGGCGATTTTAAGGGCGCACCCTATGCTGGGGGAAGACAGAGGATGGGGGCGCCTTGTATCGAGCGCTCTGTGTTCCCCAGAAAGAGTTGCCCGTGGCAAGCAAGGCATGGGTCGAGTAGAGAACAGGGAGCCGCATGCCACTAGCCAGTTATGGGGCATCGAGGAACCTCGGGGGGTGCACTAGCCCAGGGTTAATTTGTTGTAACTAACACACTGGACGCCCTCACGTGGTCGGCTGCAGCAGCACGGAGCTGGTGAGTCGATTCCGGGGGGGGTCCCCGCCCGATCTGGAGGGGCCGTGACTCAAGGGGTTCGGGGCTCAGGGAGGGCAGGATTTGGACACCCGGGGATCCTCACTTCTAGGGGGACAGGTCCCCGCGGTGCGGATCTGAGCGCGATTGCAGTCCCTTCCCCCACCGACTCGAGCAGTCCCGATGGAGGCGCTTTTCGTCTGGAGTAAAAAATAAATGAACGTATGGGAGGAAAAGGGGGTGCTGTCGGTATAGATTTTTCGGTATAGAAAGATATATTCGGTCCGAGCTTGGTCAGACAGCGGATAAGACACCAGAGAAGGAGACAGGGGTCTTTTCTTGAATAGCATTACTGGGGAGAGCGGAAAGAAGGGGGACACCGCGCAACACTTCGGTTGCTTAGGTTTTGGGCTCCGTGCCGCAATGTGTGCTGTTGGGAACCCATTGCTGCAGCTTCTTCAGCTAGTATTAGAGGCGTGTGTGGGGGGGAGGAGGGTGAAGGGAGAATGTCCGAACTTGGAGTTTGGCTTCGTGAGCACATCTTTTCAGGCTGCAGCGCGCGTGACACTTAATGGCCATAACTCTGCAATGGGGCGAGAGAGGGTGTGTGAGGTCCAGAGGGAGCCGAGTGTGGTCAGTCTCTCCCCATCTAACGCCTCTCGGAGCCACCTGGAGAGGGGGCGGTGCCGGCTAGGTTAGGTTAGGGTAGGTTGGAAGAAAGAGTGGTACGACAGCGCAGCTCAGCGCGTTTGGTGGAGCGAGGTGGAGATGCGATGCCGCGGCTTTCTTTTGCAGCGTGGGCCGCCGCGATCCCGCCGGGTGGGGGTTGGAAACAGATTGTTTGGCAACAGCGATTCGCTCCGGAGACCCCCGGGCGACGAGAGGCGGCGTGTGCGCACACGCGATGCCACTTCTCCTGCCTGCCTGCCGCCCCAGCCTGGGCACCCTGCGCCTCTTTCCTGCCCACGCACCTTCCGGCTTTCTGTTGCGGGAGGGGCGCCGTGATTTGCCGGATCCGAGCGCGCTCAAGCGTGGGAGGGGCGGCGCCGCGGTGCGTCCGCAAAGGGCTGTGCGGCGCGGAAGGGGCAGCGGGAGCGGCGCTTCTCCGCAAGAGGAAGCCCAGGGGGGCGAGCGGGAAAGCGAGCCAAGTCGGGGGCTTGAGCGACCCGCCGCCCGCTTGACGCTGCTCCCCCTCCGCCGCCTTTAAAAAGTGGCTCATGGGTGCATGGGAGGGCGGCGCGCTACACCCACTCCGGCAGCGGCAGCAGCATCTTTGCGCCGAAAAGTTACACCCCCTCCGAGTCCTCGGCTGCAGAGCCTCCGCCAGTGGTTGCGAGCCGAGCCCGCCCGAGGGGCCCGAGCGCCCTCCCTGCCGCGCCTGGCCTCGCATCAAGTTGACACGCGTCTTCCTGCGTCTTATTCTTTTTTCCGCCATTTCCCTGGCAATGCCTCCCTTGATCGTGGCTTTAAAAGAGGAGGGCTTTCTTGTTCTCTCTCTGAGCAGAAAGCAAATCAGATCGGCGAGTGTCTAGCGGGATTCCTGTCACGCGTGTTGGCAGCAGGCGGGCCTCGAGCTGTCCCAGCAAGGCGTTGCTCGGCATTACTTGACGCTGGCTCGTTTTGCCTTTCTTAACTGCTCAAGTTTAGCGCAGAATGGCTTTCTACATTTCAAACTACGTCGGCGGACGGTGATGTGATGCTCAGTGGTAGCGGTGGGGGAGAAACAAAGCGAATAAAACCAGCCATGCAAAGCGGATGACAAGACTCCGTTCTCTGGAAGGTCTAAGATGCTGATCCTAAATTAGCTCACTCGCTACTTTATCCCTTGGTCTGAACTGCTGCCTGCCCTTAATTCCTTAGGACTTCAGCGCCTTCTCTTCAAACTTTGTACTGCATTATCACAGCTCCCCTGCAACTCCAGGAGCTTAAATTCCAGCACCATTTCCCTAGATTCCAACACACTCCTTCCCAAATCTGAATGGCTCTTGTCAAAGTTCGCCATTCCCAATCGTAACCAAAATGAGGAACACAAAGCAAGGCAGGAAATGCCATTTATCGATTGCATGAAAAAGTTCTGGAATCTAGCGTTCTGTGCTGAGAGAAATGTTGGGGCTGGACCCAGACAAGTATTTTTAAAGTAGACTTATTAAAGGCAGTGAGACTTGCTATTCGACACTGCTGGCTCTATCCTCCAGATCCAACCTTAATTTAGGTGTGGAGGAGTCTTCTGCAGGAAGTGTTCAAGTTGGTCTGAAGTTTACAGAGAGGAGGCTTGTGGACTTAAGCAGCTCAGGGTGGAGCACCTGCTTTTCCCATGGAAGACCCTCAGTGCACAGTCTCCGGCACCTCCAGGTAAAAAGGATCTCTGGCAGGAGGCCATAGGAGGAATGCTGGAGGGGTGATGTCGGAAGACTTACTGGGCTAGATGCATGAACAGCCAGACCACATATAGAACGGTCTCCTACATTGTTTAAGAGGGAAATCAGAGCAAATGCGATGCATGCCCAGAGAGAAATTAAGGCTATGTGGATACAATCTCTCCTGACCCTGCTGAGTTCCATGGATGACTCTGTATCCTATATTAAGGACTTGTGTTCTTTGCTTGCTAGAATGCAACACTCAAGGCATAGACACTTTCGCTGTACCTCCTCCCTGCTGAGGTTTTATTGTATGTACAGCCCTCTTCGTTCCCTCTTGCTAGAAACCCAGGAGGCTTGGCTAGTTCTCCTCCTATTTTATCCTCACAACAAATTCAGCTGCCTGCCCGTGACTGCCTGAAGCCACCCAGCAAGTGTCTTGGCCAAAATGGAGAGATCTCAGATCTGTGGAGCCCGGTTCTCTACTCCAACCACTGCATCACACCACTTTGTGTGTGTGTTATAGAACTAGAACCAAATGGGATGGGCAGGGGAAGGTGTTGGCACTTCCGTGTTAACAGGTGTAGAATATAGGTGTCTAATAGACCCATTACAATCTTAATACCTGTGGCAGCTCCTAAACAACCTGGACTGTGCTGGATGCATAATAAGTAATAGCACAGTACACTCTGTTGCATTCACAGTTGTTAAGCAGTTCTGGATTTGTCTTCATGATAACCAGCTCGGCGGTGTTTACCGTACTCCCTCCTCTCCTCCCAGACTGAGACACACACCAACAGATGCACCATTGATGAAGAATGCCTGCTCTAGGCAAAGTAAAACCTGGACATGGGCTTCCTTGATCTAAACTTTTGCAGTTTAAAGGAATAAAGAAACATATTTTTTATCTAAAGCCAAAATGTACTTGATAAAGTACATTATCTCTGTCGCCTGTCACAAAATGTGAGTGCATCACAGAAAGCTACACTGGCACAGCCAGAGATGCTCTTATCCAATTGGACTTTCATGTATACTATTTATATCCCATCTTTCCTCCAAGGAGTTGGGGTACTAGTTTCTTCTCTGTCATTGTATTCTCCCAACAACCCTGTGGGTGGCTGCCATGGCCTTATTCTCTAGTATTATCACAGTATCATCATAAAAAGATCCAAACAGAACAGATAACTTTTTCTTTCAAGAAACACAAGTAAAGGGGTTTCTTGGCACATCATCTGGAACCACAAACAGATTTTAAAATTATCTTTAGCTAGTTAGCTGGCTAGTTTAAATGGAGAGGCCTCACTGTAGGTCCTCACCCCTGCTGTAAATTCTGTACTCTTCCCTTCCACATCTCTCAGACATATAGAGCAGCTTGGCACACAGAGCTGGAATATACAATAAGGTCCCTTGTTAAAACATTTGAATGGGTCACATGCCTCCCCCAACTTTACTCAGAGACATCCACACTTTATAATATATGCACCCTTCTCCTGGTCAACAATCCCACATTCCCTATACAGGAGAGTGGCCAAACCAATCTTCAAAGTTGCCTAGATTGCCACTTCTTCCTCTCGGCCGCCAAGCATTTGGTAGTTTCCTTTCTTGAAGTTTCCCCCCATTCTAAAGGGCTGAAATGCCTCTCCTGTTACTTCATGACCAGCTGTTAAGAGCCTTAAGCTAATATAGGTCAGCATTTTCCTTCATTTGGTCCTGTGCTTTTAGCTTTAGCCACATCCACCATTAGAACGTGGCCCAAAGAACTCCTCTGGAACTGGAATTCAGTGTGCTGCCTTCGCATGTTCGTGCACCGCTGCTCTCTAGAAGCTGCCCTTCCTTCTAGTGCTCCTACTTGTACTTTGAGCTGTACAAGTACAAAAACAAGACTGGCACTAGGCCACAGTGCCCTCAGCATGGAGCAACCTTCTCCAACATGGTGGCCTTCAGGGGCATTTGGACCACAACTCCCAGAATTTCTAGCCAGCAGGACCATTGACAGGGAATTCTGGGAGTTGCAGTCCAAACGCGTCTGGAAGGCACAAGGTTGGGCAAGGCTGACATATGCCACCACATTCTCAGCTATGAGGAGGATTTTTAAAGAGTCACAGTGTTTCAGATTTCCCTTCATCCGGGACCTTCCTCTAGGAGCTCATACTTGACAGTTATTACTTATGCAATCCCAACCGTCCTTTGCCAAGCCACACAGCAGAGCTGCACAAGAAGGCATTTGTTCCCAAGTCTTGGATAACTCGTTGTCATCATACTTAGTCGTGCTACTTTCCAGGTTCTTGGAGCTGCTGATACATCCAGGCCACCTCCAAGCCTGCTGCTGGCCTTGCGTACACGCGGACATCATTAGGCAAGGACCGGACGGACGGAAAGCCCTCTCCTTCCATGCCATTCGATTTCACTGCTCTTGTTCCTGGGGGAGGGGACAGGCCCAGAGGCTAAAGAATTGAATTGCTCACCTCACCCAAATTCAGAGGAGCCAATGAAAACTTCCTCAGTCCTTACTACTTTGGTGTATGGGGACATAAATGGGGCTGGATGGGGGGCAGCGCAGGCAGACTGGCCCAGGCCCAAACATGAAGGAAAACTTGAGCCAGTCCTTGAGTTGACGGAAACAGCTCAAAAGGAGAGAGGAAGGATGAACAGAAAGTGCAGAAGGTGCCCCTGCTCACTCTCCTTCACATCGTTGTCCTAAGTCCAGCAGGGCTTTGCATGCGGAGCTTCATCTGCCTTCAGAGCTGCTGTTTGCACTATGCTAGGTTACCCCCTTTGTCTCCATAAAACTGAATATAGTTTCCATAAGAGGCATCAGATTGCCTAGGTCCTCACTAAGAGGCATCAGATTGCCTATGTCCTCATTCTTAGTGAATAATTATCATATTAAATCAACCCTAGTTTCAGTCAGGCATTTTTACACAAGGAGTCAGCAGCATGCCACCCTCCCAGCCTTGACCTGAGATGAGTGACAGGCTGGTGGCATGTGCTTCTCCCTTTGTGGACATGCAGGCCCATGCCTCAGCATCAAGCGTCCATTCACAGGCCTTGCCAACACCGCATCAGAAAGTGCCCCTCAGCCCATCTACTGAAACGGGGCATTCTGCTCTACCGCCCCCTGGAGGATGGAGCACTGGCATAAATTAGCCACCACAGAGATGCTTTTAAAGGGACATTTGGTACTAGATGACTCCACTTACATGGAAGAAGCAAGGTTCCCAGCTTCAGATCTGAGAGGAACAAGTATAACAGGAGGAGAAAGAAATAAGATTTTATTATTGATATGGAACAGTCCTGGAACACATACATTTTTTTAAGAAAATAAATACATGTGGAGCAGTCTCACATTCTGTTCCTGCACTGCAAAGTCAATTTGCATCTTAGCATATAGATAGGCAGCGTTAACAGAAAGCAAGGACAATGAGATCAGTTATGTATTTTGCATAATTTGTTCTGTTTTGGCTAGTCAAAAGGAGGTAAGGAGCAACAGTGGGCACTGAAACATCACGATCCCTCAGAAACCTCTACCTGAGATTTCTAAGTATCTTCACACTCAGAAATGGTTCCTTTGCAAAGGAAAATGTTTTGGAAAGCTGAACTGTAGACTTTTGACAAGGGAAAGCACAGTAGCCACACCATTCTAAGTATAGTCATCCCAAAGCAAAACCAGTACAAAATGTCAGGATGCCAAATGTCCATCTTCTAGTCCTACAAAATGTTCACATGGGAATTGTTATCGAGGAAAAGGATTGCATTAATGACCCAGCTACACTATTACCAATCCTCAAGTGATTTTGCAAGGAGGAAAAGCCCTACATTTACCTATTTGTATTGATTGCATGGAGTTCATTAGAGCACTGCCATAATGGGAGTCATGCTGTTATGGCAAATTGAAAGAAAATGACCTGAGGTTTTCTGACCTAACCTTTAACCCTTATCAAGCTAGGGGAACCTAGGCTTATACGATCACTGAGGTTCCTCTTACAAAGCAGACATATTTGGTGTGTAATGGCATACCCATTACATTATGGTATTGATTTCACCCAAACCGAATCAAGAAAGTCTAAGCAGCAGTCTGTTGTCAACCAGCCCCAGTTAGAAATGCAATTTCCTCTTAACAGGACCAAATGTAGCATGCAGACTTCCTGCAATGTATTTCCCTTTCCCTCCTTTCTTTGCCACATACAATTCTTTCCACCTCATTCATCTATTTTTTCCATATGTAGCACTCTGGGTACCCCCTTTGAAGAATATACATGTCCTGATCACATCTGGAAAGGAGTGTGCAAACACACACCACTCAGAACCGCCATACAAGTTACTGATCAGATGCTTTGAGCCAAGGAAGAGTGCAGCCTTTTGGCCTTGTGCTCTTGGGCAAGTGGATCATAGTGCAATTGGGAAATATAGGCACCGTGTTAAGACCCAAGCGTCAGTGCACTCACTATTGTGAATTCTCAGCAAAAGAAAACAGGAATATGGATATATACAAATATAATTTATGAGCCTCAGGGATAGCTGCTATTAGTGCCAAGCATGTGTACATCTTCTGCCCCAACATAAAACTGATGTTCCTGGGGATTTGGACAATGCCCCCTCTCTGGTGGCACCAATGCCATGCAATATACAAGGAATCTGGAGCTATTAAAAGGGAAGACAACAAGTTGTAAGAAAGACTTGCATGAGGACAAGAATAGGCAAAAGAACATGGAGAATAAGGCTATTAGTGGCTACTAGTTCTGATTACTGTATATTACCTCCAGTTTCTGAGTGCTGGAAAAGAGCCTTGCAAATACCCAGACCAACAGAAAGACAAACAAGTGACTCCTAGATTAAATCAAGCCAGAACTTTTCCTGGAAGCAAAAATGACAAAACTGAAGCTGACAAAACTTCCCATGATGTGCCCAAAGTACAAGGCTCACTGGAGAAAAGGATCATATTTCATAAAGGTGAAAATAAATGAGGAGAAGGAAGATCACCTCTGAGGTGGGTCAATTCCGTAAAGAAAGCCAGCCTTGAGTTTACAAGAGCTGAGCAGGGCTGCCAGTGACAGGCCCTTCTGGAGGGCTTTCACTCATTCACAGGGCCACCCTAAGTTGGAGATGACTCGAAGGCACAGAACATCTCAGACAGTGCGCCTCTCCCTACCAGTTGCTGGGAGACAAGATTGGGAGGGTGTCACTGCACCCATGCCCTGCTTGTGGGCTTCCTTTGGCCTGCTGCTTGGTCACGTGGGAACAGAAATCTAGATTAAATTGGGCTATACTCTGTTCCAGACTGGTTCTGGTCATGTTTGTAAGCTGTTGTTGGAAAGGAATGTGTGGTGATAAGGAAAACCAAATGGCTCAACATCCTCTGTAAGGTATAAGATACCTCTGTGTCCATGTTATTTTTCTTTCCAAGCTGATCTTCACTTAAATACAGCTGAAGAACAGAGCCAATGATTGTAACAAGGGAGTCATATGAAATAGCTACATCTCTTTAGGAGACATCTTGATTAAAACCACACAACAGGAACGTCAAGGAATTGAAACAGAAAAATGGCACCAACAACAGCCCTCCTCCAGTTATATTTTTCACTTTTATTATTGTGTACAATAATGGTGTACACCATGCCTTTTTTTAAAAAAAAGGTATCAAATATCTACATGAAGATAACACCAATAGAAAAAGACTGAATTCTGCAATCTGAAACTTTGCCCTCAGACCACTGATGAACAAACTGTCTTGATACATAGAAGACAATTCATTCCAGTTTTAATATTCTCTGTTATGAAGTGCCAAGCAGAGGGAATCTGATCAAGTATATATTGATTGTCATCCATTCTTCCCAAACAGAAAAGGGAGCGTGGCTGAAAGGCTGCAAATATGTTTAGCACACAGACAGAATGAGGCTTCATCCCTAGGAAAGGATTTCCGGAAACAGGGCTGGCAAAGGCTACAGCCTGAAACCCTGGAGAACCAACGGCCAGCCAACCACAGCGTTTGCCTAACTCAACTCACCAGAAGGTAACTCAACACGAGAGTAAAGGACCTATTACCTGATGAGATAATCTACAGAGAACTGGTGGGAAACTAGTTATGTAGTGCCTCGGGCCATGTAATGCCATACACTCAGTTACATTGCAAGCAGTGGTCTCTTTCCATGCAGTTATTTTAATGTTTTCACTGATCAGCAGTTAGGTTCCAAGAGTTCCCAAGATCATTACATGAGCAAGCCAGCCAATATTTTTGAAGAATATAATGTGCGTAAATTAATGCTTTCATCCAGAAACAAGCTTGGCTCACATAATATAGAGGCGGCGGCAAAGGAAGTTCAGTGACCAGTAGAAAACCACAGACACTCAAGAAGACGAGAGAATCTTGCAAAGCACGCATGCCTCCCTATTCAAAAGGCTGCAAAGGAGAGTTGAGCTGGGAATTTGACTTTGAGCTTGACTAGTGGTTTATGTTCAAAGAACTGTTGTTCTGGCCTGCCCAGAACTCTTGCCCTGTACTTCAAAGTATACACTTAAGCTATGTAACATCACGAACGAGAGTTGCTGGGTGCCAAAGTAGGCTGCAATTTCTACAGATCCCCCAAACCAGAAGATATGCACTGAAGCTAGGAGCGAACTGCAGAATTTTCCAAACTTAATACTGAATGAAATTCAAGGGCACTGAGACTGAAAAAGAAAATCTGCAGTAAGCAAGTTATTTTGTTGGAGCTTGATGGGTACAATTTGCTGCCTAGGAATAACGGCTGTTATCCTGAAGTCATCAGCAAAATGTGTAATGGCTTAAAAACTGTGGATTGAAGAGTTTCTTAATGCAACTGTTAGCATCATTCAGGGGTTGCTGTAGTCTGTGGAAGCTCCCAAGTAGCTTCCTTGTCCTACTGGGAGAGGGTGGCAATGACAGAACTAAATCTCTTTTACAAGAACTGGAATGAAAAGCAAAGGTTACAAAATAACTTCCAAGCTGCACTGGAACGCAAACACAGCATACCACAGTGGGGTGTTAAGTAGGGATCACAGTTTAATGCAAGATATGGCAATGGTGGTCCAACTACTTCCACAAAATAGTTATGTAGTCTGCTCCAAAGCACAATCTGAGCCCCTGATAAGAAGCTATTTTCCTCTGGCAGATGGCACTGTGGAATTACATGCCAAATGCTCATGATGGCATTTGGAGGAGATCAACACCATAGATTTTTCCCTAACTTGGAAGAAGTTCCTACAAAACTTTTAATACTTTTGTGCATACTGCCTTGCATTTGGTAGAAATAAGTGTTATTAAGCTCCATTCCCACAAGTTCAATCTTTGTTCTTGTGATTTCTGCCTCATTTAGTAGGATGAGAGTAACACCTTCAACCAAGATGAATACTGGCAGGCTTAGTTAAGAAAAGTGGCTATTCAGTATTGCCCATGGTTAGTTTTTACTCATCTAATGCCTATGCCTTCACACAGTAGAACATTATATTGGTAGTGTTCCAACAACTATCCTGAAGGGCACGTTCCTGCAGCTCAAGAATATGGAATAAGTATAAATGTATGAAGATGTGTGCGTTGTCCTTTAAACCATAGCTTTTAATGGTCTGACAATTTCATATTTTCAAGGTGGGTTTTAAGTATTTTCACAATACAGATAACAGATATTTTTCTCCCAGAAAAACTTCATGAACCAGTTTTCCATCAAATTAACTGTCCAGGAGCAGACTATCACTTGTGGAAGCCATCCTGGGTATTGGCCAGCAGGTTGCTATGTTCAAGGCAACCAACCAAACAGGTAAGTGTTTCAAAGGTCTGCAGACTTACGCCAAAGCAGTAGGCTGGTATTCCAGATTCCTGAGATATTATATTTTGCAAGCTCAGTTATGACAGCATCACATCCCTGGAAAAAACATATACCCACAAGTTCTTGTTATTGGGGCAGCTACCACAATTTCTGTAATATAGCACCTAGCTCCACAGCTGTATTATCAAAAAGCAGTGTCAAACATAAGATAGGTACCAGCCATCTATCCAGAAAGAGCGAAAGGCAACTGAGGAAGCTTCCACCCTACAGGCCGAAAGTTCAGCTGTATAAAAATGTCTCTTCCAGGCTATTTACAACAGCTTGCAAGCTCATAACTTCCAAGCCCTGCTGATACAAGCATTTAGTACATAGATTTTTATAAGTACTATTCTGAACACACTGAGGCTAGCAGTATTGGCTGTGAAACAGGCCAGAGTCTTTTGCCTTTAGCAACTATTTGGGGAGCTATTGCCCTTGCCTTCTTAAAGGTTTGCAAGGAACATCAAATATGCATCATTACTAGCAGTCCATCATGAACAGTGGTAGAATTCACTCTAGGAGAAGAAAACTTCACTTATATTAGATATATTTTGCACTGCTGCCTATGACACTTAGATGAACTTCTAATGAATGGAATAGTATCTAATAATTACAAAGTACACTTTCATATAATACCAATGGCCCTGTGGGAGAATCACTAGGATTTAATACTTTTGACAAACTTTCACTAAGGCAGCTAACTTTCCTGCCCAGGAGTTTGACTAGTGATCAAGAATACCAAAGTGATGAGGCAACAGGGAAGGAGAAGGTATGGAATGGTCACTTTGCTTTGAAAGCATGAGAATGAGAATAGGTCCTCTCATTGCTGGAACCACTTAATAAAATCCTTCATTATCAGCTGCTCCATGAAAATGATGACAATTAAAGTCACCCAAAAGCAAACATCACATTTTCCAAAGAAGTCCTCCCAATATGCTGTTTTGGCAAAATGCACAAAGCGGACAGAATGAACACACTGGGAAGGCCACTCACCATGTTCAGAAACATGGCCTGAAAATGGGTGCTATTCCAAAGAAAACTACTCTTCCAGGCAAAGGACTTGCATTAGCAGCATCTTTATGCCAGAATGGCACTGTTACAGCACTGTACAGCCAAGAGGACTCTCAGGGCAATTTCTCTTAAGATAAAAACTGCTTGTCAATAGTTTTATACCACTGAATTGAGCAAACTTATGGCACTATCATGGAAACCAAATTCATTCACTGGGTGTGCCGTTGTTAATAGTCTTAAAGCAAAACTCACCTCCCACTAATTACATTTTTACTGCATCTTTGGTAGCTTATATTTGTCAGCTTTCTCTTCACTAGAAGTCTTGCATTGAATGCATTTTTGAATAATCAGTGTTGTTCCAGTAAGAATTTAGTCCCATCTGGAAGGGGTTTATTTTGGGGATACTAAAAACAGTGACACCACCAAGAATTCTTTCCCTCTCACTTCTGGAAAGAACACAAACAGTAGGCCAGAAAGAGACAAAGATGCTTCATGGGGCAAAACTGTGTTGCAGCCACTGTGACCCCTCCATCACTGCCTCGGTGGGTGTATGATAGAGTTCTCAGGCACTGAGCACCCACCATAGGTCTAACTGCACAGGCAGAACCATGCTGAGCAATCCAGTTTCAGGGTAACACTGCTATTATAAGCTGCTTCGGATTCCTTGCAAAAGATGACCAGCAGGACCAAAATACAATGCAATCTTGCCAGAACAGAAACATCACCTGACAGTGAGCTTTGCTCGGAAACTTATGCAAAGATGGCCTTCCACAACCTATGCTGGTCTAGGCCATCTAATTTATTGTTTCTGGCAGGAGGAGGAAACACTAGTGCTGAATGGCCAGCAGGGAAAGGAAAAGGAAAATTAGTCAACTGAGTGAGTGGTAAGGCGGGTCTACCGCTCCCTTTCTGTAAGAGTCTCTGCTTTCCAGACAGAATACTAACTATGAATATACATTGTTTCACTGACTGGCAACACGATAAACTTGACCTTTTCCTATCCAAACAGGCATAGAACTGTGCCCTAGATGCAAGCAGTTATATTGCCTTCAAGACTATTTATACAAGCTAGTATCTGGGCTAGTTGTTCCCACCAGCTATGGAACAGCCCTATAACCTACAGCCAGGTCAGACCAATTTCTATTTTTAGTGCCCCATTCTACAGTTTTACCAAAGTACCAGATTCTTCTGGTATGGGACTAGGTATGAGTGCTTGCCTGAGTTATGTGCATCCTATTACTCTGAAATCATTTTCTAGAAGGCAATTGGAGCTATTCAAGGTGACTAGCTACAGAAGCCACAACAAATGTATCGCTGCCAAAACAGTGTCTGAAAAAATATTTTTTCTAAGCATTTTTAGGTTTACTAGCATGTTTTCCTTATAGAAGTAAGGTTATCTAAGCTCAACAGCTTTCTCAAGAGGCTTTCATGGATAAGCCTGCTTTTTAACACTTCTGCTGGATTCCACCTCTTCCTTGGCTGGCCGGGGTCATACCAAGAGGGTGCTGGATAAAATGTTTAAATTAGTGCAGGAGCTCCAGCTTCAGTAAGGAAGTAAAAGAATACAAATGGGGAGCAAGATAGTTTGTTCTTGTTAAGTTTATTGGCATGTTTCTTTACAGAAGAGTTCTGCCTACGTACTAGAATGTAGACCTCTGGGGGGAAAACAGTAGAAGTGCTCCATTTAAGAAAGCTACAAATGCAAGAAGAGCAGAACAAAATTGTCAGGTTTCCACTGCAGGAAATCCAGACTAGTGACAGAAAGAGGGAAAGGGGTGTTTAGCCATCAAGATGACCAAATCACAACCCAGATGGAGCTTCTTCTACAGGAGCCAGACATCTCATGTTAAGATTCCGCTTTACATTTTCAGAGTTAATCATGAAAAGGGGTAAAAGGCAAACAAAGTGATCATTCTGAAAGCAGTATTTAATTTTTGTAGTCCAATAATCCAGTGTGCAAGGTTATGCAAATCATCCTTTGAAAATTTTTCGCTACAAAGAAGCCAAACAATATTTTTCTAGGAGATGAAGCTTTTTGGCTCTTAAAATCAATACAAATGTTTACATAATTCTTGCTTCTACTGTACAGAATACTGCCTCTATCTGGACTTGTGTTGCTAGCATACTGCATTCCACAAGTGTCCTGTTCGCTTCCTAAACAACCTGTGTTTCAGTACTTAAACATGTAATTCAAGAATTTTACACTAATTTATACATTTTAATTGGTTGCATATATTAACATGTACTATAAGATTTTTCCTAAAGAAGCCATTACATAATACGTGGATACTGTAAAAAGATCTGATTAGTTAAAAGTAACAAGCATTAACAGATACATACAAAACTCAACCTAGTTGGACTGGGTGCTGAGCTTGCAATGAGCTATGAATAATTAGCCTTTCCAGTTGCCGCCTTCACAGGGGAAAACACAAGACAAAGGTAAAATTGTTACAGATTATCTGTACAGTTTCTTTCCAATGGACACCTGGAAGTAGCTTAAGTTCCAAACATATAAGAGGTTTTTTTTTTTTTTTAAACTAGAGGAGAAAGGTCTGCTACCATGAAATAATGGGATGTAAGGACATTGATGAAGTCGTGGAGAGGAAAGAATGGGCTTACAAGTTGTTCATGGGTGGTTTTGGCCGCTGAAAATGGGATCGTATTTCTTTTTACACAGGAGAGGGGCCGTGTATGTTTGAAGGCCTAAGTGTGATATCATTTGTGAAGGTCTGTGCTAACCCCTCCAGCCCCACCTCAGCAGCTGCAGCTCTCCGCAGAAGCCTTTGCTCGATCATTCTTGTCTAGTTTGATAGGTTCAGGGAATTCATTGTAAAGCTCCACTTCAGTTTCCTATCAAGAAAGAAGGAAGAAGTTACCAGCTACAATCCAGCCCTTAGTCCAACTAAATGGGCAATTACCAGGAAGCGGGGGGTGGGGGGGGGAGTAGAGGCACCATAGCATCATGCAAGAATCACTTCCGGTGTTTGCCTCCCAATTCCCATTGCCTGAAGGAAGCAACACCATTATCAAGCCTTCCCTAGTCTGGGAGGAACCAATTCAGTACCACCATTTCTGCTAAAAAGCTGGCCACGGCCCAGTCTATGGAGCTATGGACTGTAGAATAACCACACCAAGCATTCTTCAAAAGTTGCCTCTGGGATATATACTCAGTCCCACTACTGAATTTTTTTTTTTTTTTTTTTTAGAAAACCCAGATTTTTAGGATCTTTTAAAACCTGTAAAGGTGTAATAAGGGCACTAGTGCCTCTATCTCCTGTTTCCAACCATCACTCAATTCTGCCCTCACATGCAGCATCCCAGTCATGACTCTGCAAAAAGCTGCTGTGTAGAAGTCATACCTGTTTAAGTGCATTTCGTGCAATTGTCTGGAAAGCTTGTTCCACATTAATGGCCTCCTTGGCACTGGTTTCAAAGTAAGGGATATTGTTTTTGCTGTAGCACCAGGCCTGTGCTCGTTTTGTAGTAACCTGTAACAGAGGTAGGACTTTTTGAGCTCTGTAGTTACTGAGAGTCATGTCCAGTAACTTTTTACATGTGTCAAAAAACTTTTATTCAGTGACAAAGAGCAGAGGAACTAGCTACTCCTCGGATCGTTGAGCCCAATATTTCTTGTTAGTTCCCAGCAATCCTTTTATATCATAAGCTTGTTTCCAAGGCTACATTGTTCCATCTCCACTCTTGGAAACAGCACACACCTCTGCAGACAATGCACTGCAGCTTTCGTAAGAGACCCAAGCTAAAAATACTCTCCCTTGTAACTTAGACCCGCCCATTGGTACAAGATTCAGGTTTTTAGCTTTGATGCTGTTTCTAGTTCACAACAGTGTTCCATCAGCTTACTTGTCTGTTTTCTAGGTCAATCTTGTTTCCCAGCACAACAAAAGGAAAGTTTTCAGGATCCCGTGGACTGGCTTGAATGAGGAACTCATCTCGCCAGCTGTCCAGAGTTTTAAATGTGTTGGGAGCTGTTACATCAAACACCAGCACACAGCAGTCCGCTCCTCTGTAGAAGGCTACTCCCAGCGACTGAAACCGTTCCTGCCCTGCTGTATCCCATATCTGCAGAGATCACAGGAGAAGACCACTTGAGGGCAGTTTATCCATGCAAACTTAACCAAACTCACTCGATTGGCTCATTATCCCAAAGCTGGCTCTGTGGAAATGTCTATCCAAATCCAGTATCAACAAGTCAACATTCTTGCCTTTCAATGACATACCAGCATATCCCTTTTTAGTGCACGTTCCCAAGACGAATTCTGATAGACAGACAACTGAATGTGGCCTTTGGGTGAGGCAAGGAACCCAGCATCAAGCACTTCCCCACTCCAGTGAATTGCAGCATTGCGGGGGGAGCCTCTTGTCACACTGAACTGCAAGTCGGGTAGGCTTTAGTTTGCACAGGAGAGAGGAGTGGGGTAGTTTCCTCATTCTGAGTGTTGACTCAGGAAGAAGGAACACAAAAAATGCACGTTGCTCCTTGTCCAGTGTAAAGCCCACACACGCCCCAAACTCCCTTGACACCTACACGAGTTGGGGAAGTCTTTGTAGCAGGAACGACTGGCTGGCTATTAATATTTGACAATGGCCAATTGACAGTATCTGGTCAGTTGACAGATGTGCCAGGTTCGCAAGATCGGAGCTCTATGCAAGAAGGTCAGGTCATCTTTTGCACTCTTCTCATGTCAAGTCACCACAGAACCGACAGATGTGCCTACTGGCACTCCTGCTTGCTTAAAGAAGGCAGTCATGAGCCCTACCATCGCCTTCTCCAAGGACTGGAGAAAAGCCAGGAATGGCACTGGTAAGGCACTATCCGTGGAAAGGCTAAGACTCCCACCAAGGCATCCTACTGCATTCCAAGTCTCAAGGACCTCTGGGGCTCTCGTCTTTATCATGCCAACCTCCCAGCATCTCCAGAACACCAACCTACTATTTGGCAGAAGTATGCTTGATAAGCACTATCAATGCTACCTTGAGTGTTTCATGGAGAACTGAAGAGGAAGTATAAATACCTGAACATAAACACAAATGTGCAGATTTCTGCAAGCTGCAGAGATGCTACAGGTGCAATGTTCTTACCTGCATTGTGACTAGCCTATCATCCACCATCACCTCCTTCGTCAGAAAGTCTGCTCCTATTGTAGCTTTGTACTGGTTACTGAATTTCTTGTTCACATACTGATTCATAAGAGATGTCTTTCCCACCCTATGGGAAAAGGAAATATCATGGAGCCAGTTGGGTAAATTAGAGATTTTGTTCAACCTAAGCCTGTATTTTTGTGCACAGAACAAGCACATAGGTTCTCATGCATTAATTTCTGCATACGAAATTTTAATCATGACTAACTGAAAGTTAAAGTTTCAGCAATACTCTTATCATGTAAGGTCAAAGCACATAAATAGGTTAACCTCTGATTCATCTCTCAAGAGCAAATGTGAGTAGGAAAGAGGTCTTAAGATATTTTGGGCTTCAACTTCCAGTGTTCCTGACCATTGGCAGGGCTTCTCACAAGTTCTTTAATCTGGAGATCTACCAATTAGAAACTGAACTGAGGTCGGGAATAAGCTCCCGTACAGCAAGCCATGCTACCAGCCATCTAGAGCAGCATTCAAGTATGTGGACTGGAATATTTACTGAGCATTAAGTATTGCATTTTTGATAAGGTGAAGCTATTCACCTTGTCCAGCAGAAAAATAAAGATAGGTTGTAACAGGCTAAGTTAAATCAAGTGTTCATAAATACAGACTTAACAGCCAAATCATGCCAGGCATTTCTGAAGGTGGCCACTATATACTGCTCTGTTAGGCTACATTAAAGCATGTGATAGGAAACACTTCTGCAAATCCAGAATCCAGATATGACCCAAATATTTATTAGACTACACCAATTGTTCTTTCCAGGTTTTAACATCCTGTAACTAAAGGTAGTAATCCAGGCACAGAATAGTTTTCATCTTCACTTATGGCTTCCCCTCTGGCTACAGGACTGTATATCCATCATACTTGGGGAGTTTATTCAGCACACTATTCTGGCTTGTCACTGTTGCTGTACAGATAAGTTTACATACTTTCATTGAGTTCAGAAAAATTAACACGTTTTTGCTTCAATGCTGACAGAGTTTAATGCATAGTAGCAATATTTAGCAATATCTGTTATTTCACTACTGTGATTTAAGTTGCAAATATCTTTTGGGGTGATGAACTCGAAGATTGCTAGATCATTATTCAAAAGCCTGAGCCAAGTGACATCAGATTTGTTTACTAGGAGCAGAATGTAATCTGACTCAAATTAGAACTGGGGTCAGATTACAGTCCCAACTGTTACATTCAGGAACTGTTCTGACAAAGTATTGGCCAGCTTTACTCAAGAGAAAGTATCAGTTGTCGTTATGCAGCTTTTTAGCATGCCGTGACTCCACGGTAGCATGGAGCTTGTACAACCTGATTTATTTTTCTGCTCTGACTCTTGAGGGAAGTTTCAAAATGCCTAGATTTACTGAGTCATGCTCCATGCAAGGGGAAACAGTTAGAACTGCTTAGCCAACATAGAGGTAAGATGCTCTGACATCTTATTCAGCAGTGAAAGTCTGATAGGCAACACTGAAGTTGAGGTTGCCTGTTTTCTAAGCTAAACAAATACAAGCAGACATGACAGAGGTGCACAGAACTATACATGCTGTGGATTAAGTGGATAGGAGATATTTTTCTCCTTTTCCCATGATGTCAGAATGCAGGGTCGTTCCATGAAGCTGACTGGCAGGAGATTCAGGACAAAAAGGAGGACGTACTTCTTCACACAGCGTATGAATTTACTCCAACAAGATGAGCAATGGAGACCAATCTGGATGGCTCTGGCTCTGAATGGGGATTGGGCACATTCATGAAGAAGGCTCTGAATGCCTACCAGTCCTGAAGGGTCTGAGTCACCTTTACTAGCAGTGGTACTATGCCTATATATCCCAGTTCCTGGGAAGCTAGGCAGGGGCATGCTGTTGTACCCATCCTGTTTGTAGGATGCTGTGGACAAATGGCTCGCTAATGGCCGAGGAGCAGGCTGGGCTACACAGACCACTGGTGGGGCTCGTGGGGCTCTTATGTTTACACAATTCACTCTAGAGATATATACTGTAGGCCAGCACAGCTCGAGGATTCCACCGTCTTTAAAACACCACAAAGGAGTGTGCTCATGTGATTTCTATGATTAGGGAAGGTGGGCAACATGCAACCCATGCCACCCTGTGGTGTAGTCCTAGCTGAATTTGGAGTGACTCTACAAAGATTAAATATTTTTACATGAGGGAGAGGGGAAGAGAAAATGGCATCATTAGGTACTATAGAGCACCAAATGGGAAAAGCAAAATTGGATCAGAGGCTCCAGGCCAACTTCTTTCTGACAGTAAGATACAGTTTTTGAAAGACATTTCCAAGGGTTTTGATAACTAACCCTATTTCCCTTTTAGGGTCATTCACAGGTAGAGGGCTTGCTACTATACAAACAAAACAAACAGAGGGAATTTCAGTCTAGTCCAGAATGCATCTCATGTTTTATGCTGTTAATGCAAGCAATTCTGCAGGGAAAGTTGTTTTCCCTTGCCCACAATTCAGTGGCAGCAAAAGTTTACGTTTCAGCGGATGAATGATGCGACAAATCCAGGGTAACACTGGAACATGTACAGCTGTTTAAATCTTAGTGCCAAGCAAGCAAGCAAGATCTTAAAGTTTTTCCACATGCAAGACACCCAGAAAAGGTCCTTTCCCAAGAAACTTGCAACAGTCTGAAATATACGCATTTCAATGAACCTTATAAGGCACACCATTTATAATACCAATTGGATGCAGGACAGACATCACTATTTTCAGACACCACTTACCCTGAGTCTCCAAGGATGATGACTTTGAGCAATACTTTCTTTCTAGAAGTCATTGTTCAAGATTTCTGATTGACCGTTCAAGTGCACTTACTGGAGAAAGAGATTAAGACAAAAAAATCATATCCTGTATTGTGAAATGTACAGCAGGATAATCGATTAGCACAGCATTTGTTTGCAAGCGATGGAAGAAACTGCTTTTACACAATTATAGCTGAAAAGAACTTTGGAATAGTAGTTAGAGAATGGAACTGGGACTCAGATCTGGATTCTAGTCCCCACTTAGTCATAAAGCTCACAGGATGACTTTGAGCCAGTCATGGCCTTTCAGCCTAATCTACCTCACATGACTGTTGTGAGAAAAAAATGTTAACAGGATTATGTAAGCCACCCTGGCTTCCTGATAGGAAATAAAGCAGGCAGGATATAATTAAATAATTGTAGAATAGACCCAGCCCTACAAGGAGGCGGCCCTGACTGGACACCAAGTCCAGAAAGTGCCTATTAACTTTAAATATTCTGTAAAGAAAAAAAGAGCAAGTGCAAGGAGGAATATAGCTCAATAACCATTGCTACCTGGAGGGCAAGAGCTATTCCAAATATGAGATACTAGAAAGCCACAAGCTATCCAGTCTTAAAGACTTCCAACAAAGCTGTGCATGCCACTGCTATTTTATTGTTTCATTGTGGAAGAACAGATTTGTATATTGCTGGCCTATTCAAGTATATAAATTAGAGTTTTAGTCCTATTGAGGCTTCGTATTAACTTCAAAATATACATCTTACTCCTATTCTTTATTTAAAACATTTTTATGCCGCCCCCATCACAACAGAGCCTCGGGGTGGCTCACAACAGAAACAAAATACATAAATAAATAACAATATAACAATAAAAAAATTTAAAAACCTCCGGTGCATCTCGGCTAAAAATTTAAAATCCTATAAATACAAATAATTTAACAATTAAAATAAGTTTTAATAAAAAGGTCTTAGCCTGGCGCTTAGGGATGAATTACTGCATTGGTGACTACTGAAGCACTACAGTTCCAAAGTTCCCATTTTCACTAAGAAGTGCTCAGAAGATCCATGGTACAAGTTCAGAAAGCAGCTTGCCTGGCCCAGTATTTGTGGACAGTGGAGAAGAACCTAACTCAGCAAATATACCTTTCTGGGTTACAAGTCCCATTAGTCCAAACTGCAATCCATCAAGGTACGATATAGTATTGTAGCTTGCTGTTCCTATTTGAAGACAAATACAATAGCTTGGAATGCTGAAGCACTTCAAGCACTTTAGAATAAAGCAGGCAGCACAGAAACCTCTGCAAACAGTCCTTTCCCAGTAAGAGAAAAAGGAATCTGAGTTTAAGCCTCACACTTTGTGCAGCGGAAAGCAACCCGGTTTCTTCCAGATGTCTGGATTACAACTCTCACCATGGGCCATCAAGGAGTATGGGAGTTGCAGCCAAAGCATCAGGAGTGGCAGTCCTAGTCCTCCAGCTGTTCTTAAGTGTGGCCTGTTGGTATTTGGAGAAGACTGCTTGGCAGTGAAGGGTGGTTGGCAGGAGGCAGAATTTCTAAAGGTAGAGCAGGGCTTGAATACTTGAATGACAAAAGCACAGAACCAGAAAACATTTTGAAGTCTTTGGATGTGGGCCAACAGCTAGTTAGAATAGTATAATCTTTAAGTAAAGAATATGAAGCCACTATGCAGTCCAGTGGCTTCATATTCTTTGTTAGAATGGCAACAGAGAAAAATGAGGGCTTATTACCTGTTTCATGTTGTAGAGAAACAAAACAAGAAAATATTGTAGGGCAGAAGGAAACTATTCATACTACAAGCCACAAGCTGCAATACAGAAACCATCCATTGCTAAATTGCAACTTCAGTTTGACAACTTATTTTTAAGAGGTACAGCAGCTCCATTCTAAAAAGGTAAGAGAATTATTAATACACATCTCGAGAAGACCAGCTAGCATTTGTACCGTGTTCTGTAGAATGTACCATTTCTAACACTGAGGGGTTCTGGCCATTGTGCAACATACTCATAGGCTGTAAGCCCCTTAAACCAAGGAAAGGATATACTATTTATTACATTTCTATACTACCGGGAGCTGAAACTCTTGAACCACTGACAAGAATTCATGCTGGGCAGTGGTCACTGTGACCAGAAGAAAAATCAGACTTCAGCTGATTGGCTCAAGACAGTGGTCTGGATCTGAGGTAGCAGAGATAATCTGCATATGCCTAAGGAATTCTGGGAAGTGAGAGGAGATCACCATAATTGGCAGAGATTTCAGTCTTCAACTGACAGTTCAAAATAGTAGCCCCCATACCTAATGGCATGAAAAAGCAGCACTGATATGAAAGGTTCAGATTCTGGGATCACAGATGATGCTATCTGGGAGGTGGATATACTGGCAAGGGATGGGGAGCCCCACACAAGAGCTGGAAAGAATATGTTTGGTACCAGCATGAAGAATTTCATCAGGAGGGCTTTAAACTGAATCCTGTTAGAGAGAGAGATGAGCTTGGAGGCAACAGTGGATGAATATGAACCATAACAAAGAAGAGCTCTTGTAGTGTGCCAAAATAGCCTTCACAACAATGCAGGAAAGATGCCAGAGCTTACCACACATGGGCTTTGGTGTCTATATACTAATGCCCAGAGTATAAGAAACAAATGAGCTTGAACTTTTAATACATGAAGGCTAATGCAACTTTATAGATATTACTGAAAATTTGTGGGATTTCTCCTATGACTAGAATTGAAGGGTAATTTACTTGTTCAAAACAAACAGAAGAAATAAGAATGGAGGTAGAGTTGCACTAAAATATTTATCTGTGCATACAGATACAGAAAGATGAGCCTGATAGCCCCATCAAGCGCATTTGGGTCAAAATAAATACCATCAAGGAATAAATGGAACATGATAGCTGAATGCTACCAACCACCCAATCAAGGAGAAGGATGACATTTTTATTAAGCCAATTGCCAGTATTTCAAGCAAGTACCATGCAGTAGTAATGGGGGACTTCAATTACTCCGCTATCTGATGGGACACAAATTCTGCCAGAAATGTCCCCAAGAAATTCTTGACATGCATGGCTGAAAACTTTCTCCTAGAGAAAGCTGAGGAAGGAACAAGAGGATCAGCCATCCTTGGCTTAATACAAACAGGGATCTTAGGGAATAAAGTAGGAGTTACAGGAACTCTGGGGGGAGTAACAACATACTTGAGTTGATTTTTAACAAAGCAAAACTGAGTGCAGCCATACACAAACTCCAAATTTTGGGAAAGCTGGTTTTAATAAAATCAGGACAATGATAACTAAGGTCCCATGGCAAGTGACTGTAAGGAAAAAGGGAATCCAAGCAGAGTGGGAGTTTAAAAATTGAAATTTTAGAAGCACAGTTATGAACAATACTCCCCCCCACCCCCAAAGACAGAAAAATGTGGCTCCATAATGCTTCAGGTTGACCTAAAAGTGAAAAAGGACATGTATAGAGAGTGGAAGAAAGGGTAGGCTCCAAAAGGATACAGACAGGTAGCACAGAAATGCAGGAATGACAGCAGGAAGGCTGAAGAGAGTCTTCAGACTACTATATTGGAATATAAGTTGAGGGAGGGAGCTAGCTAGCTAGCTGAGAATGAGCTGAGGTTAGCAAGTGATGCTAAAAACAACAACATACATTCTTATCTGGTGCCCCCTGGATGTGCTTAACTGTAATTCACCCCACTCCCAGCCAGCTCAACCAGTGCTCATATTGGCTGGGATCAAACAGATCCAAAGGACACGGGACTAAGAACGGGTGGCTCAGGTCTCAGAACACAGTACAGTCAAACAGTAGCAGAAGTGCAGTATCACAACTGCTAGCACTAAACATAGTCAAGCATTACTTGCATAAAACAAAGGACTTGAAGCAAATTACAGCATACCAGATGGTCATAGTCACCCACTGTTAAACGTCATGCAGGAAGCCTGCTTACATCCACTGAGAGGTACAGTGGAGGTACTCCTGGCAAAACAAAATAACCAAGGAACCGGGTCAAATGGTGCTCCAGGCCTCTTACTCACAATTAGCATTTCAGCCAATCATCAGGAATTATACAAAGAAACAGGTACATGAAACCTTCCAATCAACTGGAATAGGGTGCTGGTTCAATCATGGGTGAAGTGCATTTAGAGATCCCCAAACAAGTTGGAAAAAAAACCTTAGTATAAAAAGCATGGCAAATCAGGTTCTGTAGGTGCATGTTTCCCATGGGTGAACACTATCAAGGGTCATTCACTTATTGCAATTTGTTGAAATCTTCTAGGACAAAGTAACTAGATACACTTGAACATTGCAGAAGGTGATACTTTAACACCCAGGAACAATCTGGTTCAGATATTTTTGTCTGCACCAAAAGAACGTTAAAAAAGACTTCTAGTATAGACATCAGTTAACAGCACACCATGTTCGCCTAATATTCATGCTTGCTCAGTTGCTGACATGTAAAGTCAGTTAAACAGCATTTCAGATATTGCCCATTCCTTTTTCCTACCTGGAAGCACAACTTACTGGCAAAGGATACAGTAACAGATGAATTCACTGGCTGCTCATTATTAATTTCAAACAGCAGTCAAAGCTCATATACAGCAAGGATGAATGCTACAATTGAGGAAGAGTTTGAGTCACTTGTGCTGCTAGAGACTAAATAGTCTCATGTGACAGAAATTAGGAGTCAGTTTGCTAAAATTGGCTGCGTGTGCTATGTACAACCTTGGTTGCTACTATAGCCCAAGTATTTCTATCACTGAGGCATGACTAAGGATTCATGAAAACTCACATGCTTCAGTTATCATTCAAGGAGCAAGGGACTCCCAAATGACAATACAAGTTAGCACTTCAAGTTTCAGGCTGTTTAAGGAGACTTTTATACAAATTCACCTAAACTGTTACAAATCCTCAGTGATAAATTTGGATCTAAGCAATCCTAAAATGCTCATCTTCATTATTGTTTGTCAAACTAGCCTAGACTGAACTGAGCCACATGTGTTAGTGCAGGTAGAAGCAGTTTACTGCATACTGTGCAATAAATGTAGATCTGATGTGAAAATCTGAAGAGTACCAAGGCAGGAGATCTTCCGTGCGGCATGCTAAGTTCACATGACAGATTAAGCACAAATAGCTCTCCCTTTCTTAGAAAACAAGACACATGTTAATGCATCATTGTGAGACAGTTTATTTCTGTTTTGGGGTGACTAAGTAAACTGCATCTCGTGAAGCCTGTCAGCTATACAGCATTGAAGTTAAGAGGCCATAATTCAGTCACACTAAACAGAAAGTGATTTAATCAATTTTCAAGTAGTCAGAGATACTGTCAGTTATTTTACTATTTATATATTTGCATGAGAATTCCCCTACATTGCTGCCCAACTGTGGTTTCTTTTTTTTAAAAAAAGGCCCTCACCAACTGCCCATCTGGAAGAAGGCACTGAATCTGATATCATCCATAGCACACTGATCCAGTACCTCTACCTATCTTGCATTTATGGGCAGAACTTTGCCAAATGTAAACTAGGCTAGTTAATACTATCCCTGCTCTTTTTCTGGAACCTCTGGACTCACAAGGGAAATTATATGTCAGATTTATTTACCCAAAGATAGCTAGAGAGCGCAATTCTGTTACAGAAGGTGCTACCCTAGAAGAATTTTGAAGTTCTGAAGAATGATAGTGTATGTTGCTTTGTGTATCCCCGCTTCCCCGCTTTTGCTGGGACCCATACCTAACTGCAGACAGAAGATTGCACTTTCATTATTGAGGTAGCTCACTTTTCCATGGAAGAGTTATTGTCCTAGCATACATAACTGCATATATCTCATAAAACCTAGCACATCATGGAAGAGTTGTATTTTTCTTTGAGACTGGAACTATGAAGGGAGAAACTGAGGTAGAAGCTACTATAAACTGGCTGCTTGGAGGGTGACGAAAACCAAGATTAAAACTGCATTTTGAATTTGCACATTTTAAGCAAGTCCCTGTTGCTTGCTTCATTTCTTCCTGGCTCTGTTTCTTCCCCTCCTCCTGTTTGTTCCTCCTGTGTCCATAGGAACAGTACTTGGCTCAAGGCTGCACAGATTACAGCATCATGTGTGGGCTCACGGTGCTTAATCACTTGCCCTCTCATACTGAGAAAATGCTCCATGTTGGCTTTCTCTCATAAGAATTAGAAATGTTGCTTTTCAATAAGTATTTTAGATATGCTTATTGTAAGCTCAGTATGGTTTAGTGATTCTTTTGGAAGTCAGTGCAAGTACAATTACTCCCTGAGTTTTGACTGGAGTTAGTAGGATAAAACTATACCTAAAGAGTAGAAAGGGATTCCTTTCCCATGAACATTCCTACTCAAGTACACACCAAAAGCTTAATACTGAAAGTAACCGTCTACTCCTTGGAGTTGGACTGAGCTTTTCTACTTGTACTATTTCAACTATTTTGCAAACCATAAAGGTTTTAGAATGGTTTCACAAGACTGCACTTGCTGTGAAACACAGGGTTTCCCAGCAAGAGTATGACTACAAGCACATAGGTAGAAAAACCTGACATGTCAGCTCGCATTGGTTTTCAGACTTGATCTATCCTGAGTGAGGTTCCTCGCTTTGCAGGGTTTTTTTCAAGCACAGAACAAATGAGTTACAGCAATATCCGATTCTGGCATCTCAGCCAGAAGGTGCATTCAGCTGCCAGCTGAACAGGATGGCCAGTGCTTTCCAGCTTCTGGCCATTCAGTATCAGGAAAACAAAACAATGTTCTAGACAAAGAGTAAAACAGGCTTAAGCAGCAATGAAGGTAGAAAGGTCTCCATAAGCTCTACCATATTCTGGTTTTCCACACTCCCCATTTACAGAATGAAACTTTGCACCTGCTATTACAAACACAATAAGGCAGGAAAAAGACTTAGACTGGGCTAAGTAAGCAAATCATAACTCAAGTGTAGAAAGCACCAGGCTCAGACCCCTTGGAGCTTATACAGCCTTGCCATGCAGGATTTCCCAATATACATGAGTAAGGCTGAATACGGATTAAGTTTTAGACCAAGTTTTACTTCTTCATGGCAAAGCCTCCTCATACGTGAGCAATCTAGCTCTTGAATTCAACAGCTTCCTATACCTAGCCATGATTCTCTCTCATGAATACTAACTGTTGGCTTAATGAAATGGACAAAGTATACATAATATTAAGTGACAGAAAAGGCTCTTCCTTCCCTCAGTAATCCATCCCATGCAATTTGCCATATGTGATGTCAGTGATGCTAGCTCTTGTACAGTACAAGTATACTTGCACATAAGGCTTTTAATAAGATGACAACTATGCAAATGCTATAAATTTACCTATGCTTGCCACCTTCAGGTTTAAACAACACTGAAGTAGTCAATCTTAATATGGCAACACTCATGCAAACAATGCTGCCTGCCGTCAAAATGTCACAATGGTCAGCAATTTTACAAGATCTTTAACCTCAAAGAAGCCCCCACAGGTTTTAAACAGCAGGATAACCATAGTGTGACTAGTTTTTTCAGGGGAAGAAATGGCCTTTTCCCAGTTAATAACTAAAGCTTGACTAAATTTATTAATTTTGGCAGTATTAACAAAACCACTGAAAAATTCTCCATTTTCTTAGCCATTGAGAGCACCCTGGTAAGCCACTTCTTACACAAGAGACAGCCTTTATACAGCAAGAATGACCTCACCCATAGCAGAACTGTACTGGATGGAAAGCTCCAAGCACAGCAGCTGCAGGAACTCTGCATCTGAGGAACTCACGAGGCATGCCCACCATCAGTAAATATGCTTGCTGCAAAATTTCCAAGGCTTGATAGCTACTGAGAACAAGATGTTCTATTAAATGCTATATAATGTGTTTCCCATGCATGCAAGTCTTAACTCATGTAGCCACTGACCATGCCTCAACTATGACAGAGGAATACAGTTTGTACAGGTAAGAAAGGGTGCTGAACGACAGATGGCACCGTTGCAGGGCAGCCATGAAAAAATCTGTCCCAGCATATGACAAAGCACCACGTTTTTAAAGGGTGTGCATCGATCTTTGATTAGTGGAAAACTTGTATGTTGCAGGGGTAATGTTATTTTTATTTTTCAAGTTCTGTATCAGAATAGGTTGAGCTGCATCATGATGAACCTGTACATGATCTCTTAAAACTTTTGCAATAGTGAGTTGTGTTGTGTATTACACTGTTTATTATGTTGGATTTTATCATGCTGTAAGCCCAGAGAGCCTATGGCTAGTGGGGCGGCATATAAATTGCATTTTAAAAATGAGTCACTGATCATACCTAACATTGTGTTGAAGGCTGCTTTTCTATGTAAACAACCATGAAAAATTTTTCAGGTCAAACATTTATGTACAGTGTAACATATGACCCAATTCTAGGTGCCAATCACTAACATTTCATCCTAAGTACTTGGACCTAGTCCCTGTTTTCGGAGAGACTGTGCTATATCAACTAGTGAGATCTCACACTACATACACTCATGGTTCAGTCTAGATTATGCTCTTTAAATATTAGTATCTACTATGAAAATGTGTTTAACTTCACAGATATTAAGATACATATATGTTACAACTATCTGGGTATTTTTATGATGTTGTTGTCTCAAATTAAGGCTGCAGTTTCATACCCACTTACCTGGGAGTAAATTCTGCTGAACTCAGTGGGGATTATTCCCAAGTAGACATTTATGTAAACACACTGCAATGCATTTATACTTTAAAGGCTGCAGTCCTGTACACATATCTGGGAGCTTAAATTCCAACCTGAACAAACATGCATAGATAAGATGTGTTTATATAAGCTGCAATGGGAAGGTATTTATCCTAAAAGACAGCACAGAAAAACATTAAAGTGCAGTTCCTTTGTAAATGTTGTGATTATATGCCAAACTTATTTTTGAAAACCCGAGTTTCACATGACATCATCATTTATGAGTTGCTTTGACAGTGATTAACTTGAGAAGCAAGGGATGGTAAAGTCCAGGGCTTTTAGAAGTCAAAAAGGAAAAAAAAGAATGGAATGCACATGTATCTAAGAAAAGGATGAGATAAGTTCATGGAGAATAAGGCAAACAATTACTATTCTTTATTATTCTTATGGGCTACTTCAAAATACTGAAGATTTGTTTTCAGTATCAGTTCTCAGGAAACAGTTAAGAGAGGACTACTGTTCCTTATATTCTATAGGCACCTGGTAGCTATTATGGAAAATATGATGGAACTAGCTAGGCCATTTCAGTTTGAGCCAACAGGGTTCTTTATGCTCTGGGAGAAGGGTGGGAGAGAAACAAGAAAGAATGTGATGCATGGAGAAGTCCAAGAGCAAGACCTCCTCCTCATTATTACATTTATATCTCAACTTCTTCCCTCTTGCACAGGAGACAGGGTGATGTTCCTGTTTTCATCACAACAACACTTTGAGTTAGGTTAGGCTAAAAGTCAATGCCTGAAGTCACCCAATGAGTTTCATGGGGATTAGAACACAGATTTCCCAATCCAGAGTATTTATTATACATGAACTACCAACTGAAGACTTGATTCACATATACCTCTTTAAGACAATTTACATCAGTTGATAATGCTCTCAAGCCATTTAGAATGTCAATCAGAGCTCCTGAACTGGGCACAGAAACACAAA